CCAATGTAAGTTTTTCTTAGATATTGTGTTTTAGGAATCATAATTTCATTGGAGGATAAAGTGGTCTAGATTTGGCAGTGAAACATTTTTGTGACCTCTAGTGCACAAAGGAAATTGTAGTATAACAAAATGGATTCAGTCCATGATTCATTTGGGCATAATTTCAGAAGACACTCGATCCTGAGCTGGCCACTATCTTCCGTCCATAACACGTATCACTCTCTGTCCATCATTCAGAGAAAAGAGTAGAGAATCCATCAGGAAATAGACTTCTACATGGTAGAAATCTACTTGGATTTCACAGGCTGTTTGAAACTGCTCTCTTTGGTTGGAACTGGAAAGAAATAAACCATCTCTGTCAAGATGGAACGCGGGAGATATGCCCTTTTGTTGATCAACACAATTGATCGTAACAGGTGGAAAATCTTACTTTTTGCAAGTTACATAGAGTATAATGAAAATTGGTGCACATAAATAAATTATTTGGATCCCATAGGTTCTGAAATGGTTTGGGGAAACAAAAGTTTCCAGAAAAATAAGCGAAACTAAAAATATTCTGAGATATTTTTAGCAAATTCTTTCACTTACTGTTTAGAAGAAATTAATTATAGCATTCCAGAAAATTATTTAAAATCTTGTAGGAAAAGTAAAACATTTTTATTCTTCAAGTTATCATACTTTTTTCTTGGAAAGAATTTAATATTTTTGCCAGGCCCTGGAGGGAAGATACCTAAAGAACAATGGCATGCTGATAAAAGTTGAATCTAAAATTTACTGAGGTTATTTCCAATTTTGACAGAAACCAAGTATCTTTTAAGAATGGGACAAAAGCCAATCTTAACTGATGTCAATGTAGATGAGATGAATAAAGTTTTCAGAGCAGATACCCTCATGTAGAGTATGCAGAGAGATTATCATTATTGTTTTTCCTACTGTCTTCATGCAATCAATAGACTGAGACTATGTGCCATGAGGCGGAACAGTAGGGGAGTAGCACTGCGTGCCCTAAAGTGGAGTAGTGGGGGATTTGTTGCTGGAGGTACAATTTGAACTGCCAACTTGCTTGTTTTCACTCTAAATGATTGTAGGTGAGTAAGAATTTGCCATCAGATTTTTGATGGGTTCATTCTTCATGATAAACCAACTATATTTCCAGATTCTTTGTCAGGTAATTGGTTATGACTAACCTGACTGATTGACCTTTGTATTTTTTTAATAGTTATCATGCATTTTTGTGTTCATTATGCTAAGTTCTTCATACACATTTCACCCTTCTAATATTATTGTCATTTTCATTTAAGTGTTAGAAAGCTAGAAAAAGCCTAAGTTCCAGCCATAAATAGAACTGACCACCTAAATCTTGTGTCAGCCTCAGCCATTTTCCTTTTTAAAAAAAACGTATACAGCTAAAGTTAATAACTCCTGATGTAATGACCTATTAAGATTCCAGGGAAAAGGGAATTAGGACAAATTTATGTGCTAGGCCGTTTACATGTTATTAGTCAGGTAATTATTACACCTATAAAAGATACTATATCCCCACGCTACAGTTGAGAAAGAAGAGTCTCAGAGGAGTTAGCTTACTTTAATGATAAGTACATTGAAATCCAGAAAGGTCATGTAACATCATACAGATAGTCAATCAGTGGCCAAGCACAGGTCTCTCTGGTCCTGAATCCTCAGGATATAAAAGCAAAACTTAAAAGGTCCATATATTTACTAAAATTGACTACTCAAGTTGGCTGGGAAATGAAGAGAGAAGAAACAGATGGACCTGTAGTTGCCTATGAAAAGTTATCTGGCACTCACGATTTGTTGAATGAAAGATTATATTGATGATATCTTTTTTTATACTAGTGCTACTTCGAGTGGGTATATTTGACATAAAACAATAATGACAACAGAAAGAAACAATTTTTTAATCAAAAGCACCAAAATAAAACAACACCCTTAGAGAGAGGGCTCAGGGATACTAGCTATAGATAAAAATTGGGATGGATGGGAACTAAAAATTTTAGGATTAAGAGTAATTCTTAATAGCAAAATAATAAATATTGAGGCTACCTCCTCCACCTCCATACCAGATGTTTTGCTCTTATGCCCAACTCCAGATGCTAGCAGCAGAGGGGAAATGGAAGAATCCTCCTGAGAAATTAAATCACTATAGAACTACAGATAACAATAGTCAGATGGTCCATTGAAAAATCTAACTGGTCACTCTTTTGTGCTACAGAGAAGCCCATTATTTTACAGTTGAACCAACATACATAGTTTTCCATAAACTCTTTAATGGTTAACTGTGAACAGAGAGCTAAGAATTATCAGACACTTAAATAAAGAGACATAAATAAACAAAAAACAGAACTGACAGAAAATATGGACAATGGAAAGAATGAATATCTTTGGAGAGAGAGAGAAGATATTTCACCATAAATGAACCACAGAATGCTATTAAAAACTGGAATAATCTGAGAAAAATAAAGTGTTCTTAACATATGGCAGCTAAAATTTTAATGAAAGTGTTATAAATTGCAGTCAAAAAATAATTCCAGAAAAATAAGCAATAGAAAGAAATGAACACAGGAAAAGGCAAAAAAGAAAAGAAAATTTGAGGAAACACAAATGAAGTCTAACATATAATAAAGAGGCATTCAATAGATAATAATGGAGGAGAGATTTTTAAGAAAAATGCAAAAAATAGTCCTAAAATTGAAGAACATAATTTCAAAATATAAAGGCCCTCAATGTACCTACAATAAGGATTGAACAAATGATTACAACAAAGTGAATTATGATGAAATTTTAGAACACTAGAGATAAAGATGTGGCATTGGACTTCTCTATTGCAATATTGCAAGCTAGAAAGGAGAAAAACAATAATTTTAAGTTTGAAGGGGAAAAAGATTTCTAAATCCACCTTTTCTCTAGAAGTGACTAGAGGATATGCTCCAACAAAACAGGGTTGTTAAAAAACAAATCTAACATTGGAGAAAGGATAAAGTAATTCCCAGGATGACTCAAAGGCAAATATAGGAGGCAAATACTATGTAGCAGGCTTAGAAGTTACCAGTACAGATTGAAACCAGAAAATGTAGAATTCTGGGAGTTTTGATGAGAGCACATATATATTACTTATTAGGTTTAACTGGGTGGGAAGTTGTATTAAGGGGCACACTTTGGAACATGAGTGAATAATCAGAGATAAAAAGAAGCCAAACAAAGGAAGAAAAAAACAATTATTAACTTTAGAAAATAAGCAGTTGGACAAGAAAACAAAGTAGTGTCAACTATTTGGCTTATGAAGGAAATATATGTGTATAGTAACAACAATAGCATTATACATGTGGATTGAATTCCAAATTGATAAAGCTCTATTGCAAGGATTGAGGGAAGAGAGAAAGACGTTGTGTGCATCTGTGTGTGTGTGTGTGTGTGTGTGTGTGTGTGTGTGTGTGTGATAAAAGCTAAACTCTACATCTACTATTATAAGAGATCAATATATACTATTTAAACCTAATAAATCACAATATAGTTGGCCAGGAATAGACATAATAAAAATTATTGAAAAAGTGGCTGCTCTTGGATAGTAGGTAAGCTGGAGACCAGAGGAACTAGTGGTTCTTTTTTTTTAAGAAAAAAATATGTGTAGTGTTTTTATCGTGGTTAATTTCTTAAACTATGTACTCATGTTGCTTTGCTTTTTAAAAAGTTTGTAAAAATTTCCCATCAATGTCACTTGACCACCCCTGAGGCTATCAATTTTGCAATGTCTCCTCCTTCTGTCTCCAAATTTTCCCTTCAATTATCTGGAATTGGGCTAATTCAGTATTATGTACACTAACTGTTCCTAGAAAGCTAAGAATTTATTCCCACAGTGGTGCTTTTTTTCCATTCTGAGCACAGCAAAGACATGTTACATAACTTGGAGTTTCAACAAACACCTGGAAATCAGGCTGTATGTATCGCTTAGATGAGACCAGACATGAGGAGATTGGTAGTGACAAGTGTTGTCACTTCTGTCTCTGACAGCAGGCAAGTGGCAAGCTGTATATACAAAGTCTGATACTATGCTCTCAAGATGAAAAAAATGCAAGTGAAAAGTAACATTTCAGTAAGAGCTACCTGAGAAAATAATGGCAAATTACACATGATTTAGCTATGCTCTTAGCTTTCATAAAGACCCAAAAACTATGAACTGAGCAGTAGAGCCCTAATTAAGTCTCCTCTTGATCTTCTGTGTTGCATACCCAGTTTTCAGGCTGCATTTTTAAAAAGCTTCATATCATCCTCTAATTCAACTGTTCTTTTTCTTGCCTGGCTATTGTTTTTTTAAGTCCCCCCCCTTCTTTTTTCTTTGAGTAAAAGGAGGTTAATGTGAGTCATTAAGAATTAAAAAACAATTACACAATGAAAGAATAGTTCAGATGAATTTTAATTAGAGCCTAATTTAATGGGACTTGAACCCAGCACACTGTAAATATATAGCAGTAACTTTAGCCATTAAATTGCATGGCCTTTGATTAAACTCAGTGGGAATTTAGAGAGATTATTTTGGCTGCTTGAAGGCACCATGTTTTTTCCATTAATGCCAGAGAAATATATTGAGCAACTAAAATATTACTAATAAAAATAAATGTGAAAGTTGTAAATTTCAAACTAGTAAGACTCATAGTTGATACCTGGATTTCCAAATGTGTATGTGACATTTCATTATGCTTAAAGCTGAAGACACACTGCATTATATCTGATCTCTTAATAAAAAAAAAAACTAAATATTTCTACAATTTTTCATCCTTTGGAATCTAAGAATAATAAGCCAGAGAATGAGAAAGGGTCTGTTCTAAGCCAAGAGAAAGCCCCCATGCAAGCACTCTGGCCTGGTGCTCAGATGTGAGGCATTACTATGACCTCCCAGCATTCCCAGTTGTTCCACAACCTTCCAATGGGTTGTTTTTCATCCATAAAATGGGAACAGTGAAATAGGCCCTTTGGATGGGAGACCATGGGGTAGATTAATTAAAATTAACACCTATATCAAACATTTTCAGGAATAGTAATGCATGCTCAGAGTGGGAATTCCCAAAGGCATCTGAATTCATTATCTTACAAATAAGCGATTCCATGTGGAACCACTAGGCTGTATGGCCTTCAGAAATGCCCCTGTATTTTCATCAGAGCTGAGTCAGCCACTGGAGGGAGCCAGTATGACTCTCACGGCGTAGTAGAATATGATGAACTGGTAGAGAAAGAATTTTAAGATGGCATGTAAGAATGATAGAATTTGAACAAAATCCCTTTTATTTATTTATGCCAAAATCTGTGTGAATGTAAAATGCCATCTTGATCATGCTTTATTTATGGTGTGTATTTTTCTTTTGAAAAACAGGAAGGAAGGAAGGAAGGAAGGAAGGAAGGAAGGAAGGAAGGAAAAGAAGGAAGGAAGGAAGGGAGGGAGAGACGGAGGGAGGGAGGGAGGAGAGGGAGGGGAGGGGAGGGGGGATGGGAGGGGAGGGGAGGGGGGATGGGAGGGGAGGGGAATGTTGGCTGGAAGCTCTTCTCATCCTGAACCTGGTTCCCAGTGGCAAGTGCATAAGGAAAGCTCAGAGGGTGGAGCAAGCCTCAGCACTCCCCTGACCTGCTGCGGCACGTTGCCTGACTTGGCTTGCCTGTTCTAATCTGGACAGGTTTAAAAGGCATTGCTTGTCATTTGGTGCAGCTAGAAATCATGCCTCTGCATCTCCCATGAATAGAGGGATGTGCAATATGTAAAATTCCTAAAGACAATTTTATTTATAGCTGTTGCAAACAATGTTTATACAAAGTTTATTAAATATGTCACCCACATTGATTTATTCCAACCAATCTCTTCAATCACTAATATTTATGTGATGGGTTCAGTTGCAACAATTATTTTATATGCCGTAGAGTGTGTTATAACTAGGGATTCACCCCGGCAATTATATCAAAGATAAAATGCTTCCTGAAGACCTCAGGGCAGGCCAGGAAGTATATTATTGGACACAAGGTAGTTTAAACTGAATGCCACAGCACTAAATTTAGAGTGAGAAATGTGGAGCATCTTAAACTTAAATATTAAAGCTAGTTTCGTGTCCTTTCTGCTGTACCCTCGCTGCTGGGAAGGTGGTAAGCCCTTCTGCACATTCCCTTTCCCACATTCAAATCGTGGGCCTGGAAATGCTTTTCTTGTCATCTCCTTGAATTTCTGTCTGCTCTTGCTCCTCAGCAGCTTTTGTCTAGTACCCAAAATGGGCAGAAGAGCCTACTTGGCATTTACAAACACCTACAAAGGAAAGTAGACACATGTTACTTGCCCGCAAGGAATTGGCTTCTGATGTGAGTGACTGAAGCACTGTTAACAAAGAAACCGGAGTTTTGTAAAGAGCCTGAGGTAACCATTGAAACTATAAGATGACAAACTCAACAGAAAAAAACAAAGTTACTTAAAACCACAATTGAATGCAACTTCTGTTTCCTAAGAAAGACTAAATAGCCCTTTGTTTGGCAAAATTGTCTTGACAGACCCACTTTGGTTTAGACACTAAGGCCTCAGGGTATGGTATGAAAATAGAACTAAAACAAAGAGATAACAAAACCATACTATAAAAGAAGTTATAGTACTTTGGGGCTGAAGTTCACTGTGGAAAGGAGAGGGAAAGAGGTTGGTATCTAGGAAGAGAAAGAGGGGTGAACAAGGAGGAGGAGAATGTGATGGCCAACAAGGCTTTGTTTTAGTAAGACTGGAACGTGACCTTTAGGCACAGGTATGTGTAATATTCAGTTGAAATGCTTTGTTGTCTTGTAATATACGTTTCTCATCTTTTCCTCAAATCAACGTTTTGGGAAGTAGGAAGTCTGAACTTAATTGAACAGTTTTCAGAAAATCACATGATGATAATCAGGAAACTGAGATACTTTGGTCAAATCAGGAATATACAGCCAGAGACTGGAAGGAATCTTCACTGAGAGATGAGGGCTTACCTTGAAATAATTTAAATCTCAGGGTACGGAAATAAACCCTTTTGACCTAAGCATCGTGCAAAACTTCCCCAGAAGATAAATAGGCTCTTCTAGTACTTCAGTAGACTCTATTGAACCTATAGAAGTTTTGTGGCCATCTCTTCTTAGGAAAGCAATTACTCATGAGCTACATGAATCAATCAATTTATTAACAACTCATTGGGTGAGACTGGTATCAGGCTACATGCTGGACAAGAGACCCAAGAAAGACTTAGATCTGTGGGGAGTTTGCATCTTCATGAAAGAGGGAAGTAGATTACATTCATCTGAGGAGAACTGTCAAAAACATTATGGAGTGATTCTGATGTTATCTGTCCAAATTATCATTCAATGTAAAGAGGAAAGATTTAACTTCAACTTGATTGTGGAATTTGGGCCTTGCCTTGTATGTCCATAAAACAGTTATCTATGAGGAAAATTTCACAGAACCTGAAAAATAAGAGGCTCCCATTGTGGCTGTTAAAGGAAAAGTTGCAACCTTCATATTAAGTTGGTATCCAGAAAAAAATATATATAACCAATTTAAAGACTTCACAGTTGTATGTGGTATAGTGCTATAGTATCTCGTTATACTCTTCCTATGGGGATCTTGGTTTACAACTCTTGATAAAGAATGCTCATTCAGTAGAGCCCCACAGGGCCAAATATAAGATAATGTTGCTGACAAAATAAGATTCCCCAAATTTCTGTGTCCTGTGGGACCATGATGACAGAGTGTCTAGAGCCTAATTTATATATTCCCTCTGACTTCCAAGTTCCATTGAATTGCCAACCCGCACTGCTATCTGATTGCCATGATTCCTTGATATATGAAATGATGATGGAATTTCCTTGGAATTATATATCTTAAGCCATGATAGCATTCAATAACTTCCAGATGCCTTGACAATGATGGTCCACTGCGTAAGGAATTACCACAGATTATCTCCCTTTTGATTTGTCACAGTTTTGTATGGAGTTTATTACCAGTAGAAATATTAACCTAGCCATATACAGCTGTATATTTATGAGTTCTTTAGACCATATTACAAAAAGGATTCAGTGATTCTTTTTACTGACATGGAAATGGTCAGTGATGTCTGCCAAGCTCCCAGAAAAATCAAGTAAAGAACCATAGTCCTACTGATGTGCATCCTGTCCTAACCACAGAACAAAAATCCAGTGCTCTAGAAACTACCCATTCTTCACATGCAGACAATGAAATAGGAAAGAGAAATGGTCATATACTGTCTACAATATACCACACAGGACAGAGCAGGAGTTTTTCCTGTCTGCAATCTACCTCAGCCTTCATGCTCCTGCTACTCATATGATCTCCAAGACTGCACCACAGACCTATACAAAACTAATTGTTCATGTGATTTCCTTTCTGAGCCATTGCAGATGTCCCTTTCTGTAACAATTTAATTAACACTTTAAAATAATGATGCATTAATTAATGCCAAATTACAATGAAAATCCTGGAGAATTACACTTTATATCAACATTAATGCAAAATGAGTTCCTCCTGGATAATTTTTCTTACAATGAATACAAAAAGAGATAATACTAATTAGGCCATCAATTTAAATTTACCATAATTTCAATCCATGTCATTTATCTGTTCTCTAGCACAAAACAATTGTGGCCTACCATACATTCGTACAGCAAGAGGGATGTCTGTATAGCAGCCAGACCTTGGTCACCTTTGGGGTATTGTGAGATGAGCCTGAATTTTGCATTTTATATCTCAGTTAATGAAAACAGGGTGTGTTTGTGGTGCTTTTTTTGTGTGTATGAGGTGGTGGTGAGGGGAGGGGGGAGAGGGAGAGAGAGAGAGAGAGAGAGAGAGAAAGAGTTTTTTAGAAAAATAAAATGCCCTGACTTGAATAAAGTAAAATACTCAATCTTTTACTATGCATGGCAGAAGACATCAGGCTCCGTCTATCAAGTTGCATATAATTCACTTTATTTCCACTCTTAGGATCATGACCCAGGATTTAGAAGAATTGTATCTGCAGGGTCATTTGTTCATGAACCGACCTAAATCACATCTTCCCATTTCCAGAAGTGACATGATCTGTATCTGTTATATTTTGTTTTTATTGCTTCTAATAAGGAGATATTTGTTTCAGTATCAACAAGAGACAGAGGCTCAAAAGGTTCATTTTACAATGTTAATTGAAGAAGGATAATATTATGATGACTCCTCTATTGCAACTATTTTCTTTCTGAAGTGGCCCTTCACACTTGCCTTTTAAGTTGGTGTCTGGAACATTCAGGATCTGTAAAACATTTTCTTTTTAAGTCAAAACACTACTGACTATATATTTTCATAAAATCGTAAGTATTTTGTTCTTACAGAAGTCTTTCCATGGTAAGAGAGAATGTTGGGGCACGTTCCTTCAAGGTGTAATCTTAAATTATACCTTCTCTTTGAAAAGGATTTCCAAAATAATGGGATTCTCACCTCTCATATTTAGGAATCTTGTCATATACATTGCTATCATGCCCTGAAAAAGTATTTAATAAAATGACCAATAATAGAACATAGTGAATGTGGAAATTTGCTGACAAAACAAAACATCTTCCAAGAACAAGAATCTTTAACTTCAGAAGGGATATAACATCAGTGTGGTCATGGCCCGCTGTACCTCTAGGGCATTTTCCTGAATATGTTGCTCCTCTTAGCAATCTGAGTTACCAATATGCTTGTCTTAAGATCTCTTTCCCCTTGCATTAAATGACAAGAAAAATTTGGTTCTTTGCAATTTTCCCATGTTCTAAATCAGCAACGGAAATTTCTGCTTGCCCAAGTGCTTGCTACTTTCTCAAAGAAAGTAGGCAATGGGCCTAAAGGAAGTCTGGCAGAAAGAAATTAATTTTTAAAAATCAATAAGCTCTGCCTTTGTTTTTATTCAGCTTTAGGGGAATACATATCAGTGACATTTACCTTGGACTGTGTTTCCATGCCTGAAATAACAAGAGCATGGCAGAGTGAATCAGGTGGCACGGGTCATCCATTCCTCCTCCTCAGCCCAGTTGACTTGCAGGCAGTAAGTGATGAAGATGGTTGAAAACTTGACCTTGTCGGGCTATTTGGTATCATAGAGTCATCCTTCAACCATATGTACCTACTAGAGTTGTCAGGATTGTGTAATTCAACATGTGTTCTCAGGCTGCACCTGTAGAGTATTTCATGAAGATGGTAAAAATTAATGAGCTATTTCATCATATTTGTCATTAATTATATGCTTGAAATTTCTTAAGGTAATACCAGAAATTAAAAAGCATATATTCACAGTTTAGCCTGCTACCTCAAATAGTATTTGTTGGGTTTTTTTTTTTTTTTTTTTTTGTCCTTTTCAGCATCACCCTTACATCCCCTCCCTATCTCATCCCCTTACCAGGAAACAGTAATAAAGATTAT